CCTCAGCAACAATATTTGCCATACTTGAGAAATGAAGAATCCTCTTGATGAATGTCCGGGTGTCTCCTATCATGCTCTTGCTATTTCTCAGAGGTCTTGGAATATCAATAAAGTTGGTTTGTTCAAGGGGTGTAAAGGAGACTATTCCCTCATTTTTCTTCATCATTGAGTGAATTCAGAGAGCCACCATGAAGAACATTATCTTTGTCATGTTCCTAGAATTGCTGATAAGTGCTTTACTTTCTTTAATATTGTAGAAAGAGAGAGTGATAGAGAATGAACTTTCAGCATCTATTGTCTCTTGTGTAGGTCAGAAACTCAACAGAAAATTTGTGAATTTCCATTCCTCCTATAATAGCATGGAGAAATAGAAAACTTCCCCCCCATGCAAAATACTTGCATGCAACATACTCCTCATTCACCCTCCGGTTCTGATAATCACCTGAGACTTTGCTATGTAACTAGAGTGAATATGCAATTTATTGACCAAATAGGGACATTTTTGAGAAAGAAAAGTGATGCAATTTGTAACTGTCCCAGGACAGCATGCATAAATCAGACTGTTCTTAGCAAATCAAGACTTAGAGTCCATTTACATTTAATAGTAATGCACCAGGCCAACGTTGTTGGTCCTTGCCCTTCTCAGCTTTCTCCTCTCTAAAGTCTAGGATTCAGACTTGGTAAAAGGTGAGATTTGTATGATCTGAAGAGAAACCAGGGAATGGATTCAGACTTGGATAACAGTCCAAAGAGATGTGGAGTTTTTATAATTTTACTGAATCAATACGTATTTCTAGTACTGATTTCTCTACTCTTCATAACCAATCATGTTTGTGTTTTCTTACTGGGAGATCCCTGAAGATATGTCTGTGAAATTTGTTAAGCTTTCAAAAGTATTTTAGAGTTGATAAATTCATTGTTTCAAACGATCTGCAAAATAGCATATAAAATAGAGCCTCATTTGTGAAAAATGTATCCTGTATACATGTGTGGATGTGCGGATGTGTGCAGGTATATACAAAGACAAATACCTATAGGAATTACTGCTGCAAATTTACAGTGATTGATTTCTTTCTTTCTTTTCTTTCTTTCTTTCTTTCTCTCTCTCTTTCTTTTTTTTTTTTTTGACAGGGTCTTGCTCTGTCACCCAGGCTGGAGGGCAGTGGCATGGTCTCTGCTAACAGCAACCTCCGCCTCCTGGGTACATGTAATTCTCCTGCCTCAGCCACCCAAGTAGCTGGGACTACAGGTGCACGCCACCATACCTGGTTAACTTTTGTACTTTTAGTAGAGACGGGGTTTCACCATGTTGGCCTGGCTGGTCTTGAACTCCTGCCCTCAAGTGATCCACCCACCTCAGCTTCCCAAAGTGTTGGGATTACAGGCATGTGCCACTGCACCCAGCCTGTTATTTTCAATAAGTAGAATTTGGGATAATTTTTATCTCAACATTGCTTAATTTATACTGTACTATAGTTCTGCTTAGATTTCCTACATGAATATTACATGTTACAACAGTAGATATAAAAGCCTTTTTCATTTGGGAAAAGAAGAGGTAATGAAAGATCTAGGCTAGCAGAACATTGGCAGTGTTCCCCCGCAGAAGGCTATAGTGAATGTTTTTTAATCTACCTCTTATTCAGAAACTTTGGGACAAAACGTAATCTTTGTTTCGTTCCCTCCCTTCTCCTTCTCATCTCTAGAGGCTTTAACCATGGATTGTGAAAATGACAATGACAATGACCAGATGGTTGGGGGCTATACCTGTAACAAGAATGCCTCCCCCTGCCAGGTGTCCCTGTACATTGGATCTCACCTATCTGGGGCTCTCATCAGCAGCCAGTGGGGGCTGTGGGCAGCTCACTGCCATTGACCATGGTGTGGACCCTGGAGTGTCCCTAGAGAATGTTCATTCCTCCTGTGGGTTGCCTTCCTTGGTCTGAGGTCTGCTGATTCATCCTGTTAGGAAACAAGGCCTTGGCAGAGAGGTGCAGGAGTGAAAAAGGAAATGTGTCTTACAGTGCTCTTCTTGAGCATCCTCTTCTCTCTAGGAAAAAATATCTCCCTTTTCTTTTCCATGGTTCTCTGATCTTGTGACCTGAATCCCAATACTATTGTCTTCACCAGTCTCCAGCCTTTCAAATTAACTTCAAGTTCTCCCTCTCCATGGACACCTGACTTTCTGCTGGCAGTACACACATTGTTCTCTTCTCTCTTGACACATTTCTGGCAGCTGGTAGTGCAACTTCTAGCTGCTGAGAGAGAGTTTCAAAAATAAGAGTACTCAGCTCACTGCATCCATTTTTGCATGGAACAGAGTCCCCCAGCTGACAAAGCTTTTTTTAAGGTTCACTAGTGGGCCCAGCTTTGTCTCTGGGCCAGTTCATTTGCTTGCAAGGTTCTGATGTGGTGACGCAGAATGGGCAATGGGTATGAAAGTAAGACCCAGTTGCTTAGTAAAAGCTCTGCAGCCTCTTTCTTTCTGGACAATTCCAGGTGAGATTAGGAGAACCTAATCTTGCAGCTCCTGGAGGGACTGAACAGCTCATTAATGCAGTTAAGATCATCATACACTACAAATACAAGAGGGCAACCATGGGACATTACCTCATACTAATCAAGCTGGCCAAACCTGCTGTCCTCAACAAAAGCATAAACACCAGCTCCTGACCCAGTACCCAAAAGCAGTACTCGGTGCCTGATCTGAGATTGAGACAGCACACAGCTTTCTGCCAGTGGGTGAGCCTCAGTGTGACTCAGTTACAGGAGAGTTGGAGTTCAGTTAGGCTGTGGGATGGTTGAGGCTGAGGGATGGAAACTTTGGTTTCCTCCTCTGAAACATGGGAATAAAAATAATAATAATTCCTAGCTCACTAGTTGAGTTTAAGGATTAGATAATACAATATATAAAATAAGTTTAGATCATTATCCTCAGCAAACTAACACAGGAACAGAAAACCAAACACCGCATGTTCTCACTTGTAAGTGGGAGCCGAACGATGAGAACACATGGACACAGGGAGGAAAACAACACACACTGGGGCCTGTTGGGAGGATGGGTGGGGAGGTAGAACATTAGGAAAAATAGCTAATGCATGCTGGGCTTAATGCCTAGGTGAATAGTTGACCTATGTAACAAACCTGCACATCCTGCACGTGTACCCCAGAACTCAAAATAAAAATAAACTTTTAAAAATAAATAAATAAACAAAATGAGCTTAGAACAGTAAGTGCTCAAGAAATGTTCATTGTTATTATAATTATTATTATCGGCTTGTTGCTGCCCTTTGGGGGACCTGACCCTCTGGGGAGTTTGGAAAGAGGGGCACTAGGAGGGTTTGGAGAAGTTAATATCTTTGGGGTATGGGTGTCACTTATAGTCTGAGGATAACGGTTATCACCATTTATTTTATTCAAGAAAGAGTTCTTCCACAGAATACAGTTCAAAGAGTAAAGAAAAGGCTGGATCCTAGCTCCCTAATTCCTTGCAATGTTTAAAAGTGCCTGTGCACTCCAACAGCACATGCTATGAAGCCTTCCTGGGCCTGATTAGTGACAGCATGGTGTTCCTGGCTTTCTTGAGCACAGGAAGAATGTCAGCTGCGTTTAATTTATCCCTACCCTGGGCCCTGCATCTGCTCAGGAGGTAGGCACACTTCTGATACTCACTTCCTCTCCCTTTGGGATGACTCTAGTCGTCATGTGGTCTGCAATGGAATTCCTCAGGGTATTGTTTCCCGGGGTGCAGGCTGTGCCCACAAAGGCAAACCTGGCATTTATACCAAAGTTTGCAACTACATCAAATGGATCCAGACATCATGGAAAGCAAACTGAGGGATTTCTATCCTCCCTGGGTCCAGGTCCAGAACCTGGAATCCACTGTAGCTGTCTTACCTCTGAGGGGCTCATATTTCTCAGATAGAGATGTCAATAAAATACTTTCACTAAAACTGGTGTTGCCATCCTTTAAAATTATTCCAGGTTTCAAGGGAAAGGTTTAGAGTAGCGTTTCACCAAAATGAGGTCGACAAATCACCTACATTAGAATAATTCCAAGGAGTTTTTTAAAATGTTATACTACTGGGTTCTACCAATAATCAAAATTCTTCCACATTTCTAACCACAACTTTCTTATGATGTTTATGGGCTCCAGGGTTAGAGAACATTGGCCCAGAAAAGATCTTTCCTTCCTCTGCAACCTTTGGCTGAGCTCACCTTGCTACTATGAGGGCATTAGCCATGCTTAGTCAGACCAGCACAGGCTGCTACCATGATTTTCTTTAAACCTATACAACTGGCAACTACAGAGACAGCTTGCTTCAGAGCACCTCAAACATCAAAGTCTACTTATTTATGTGAAAAAGTAAATGCTTAAGTGATAAATACCAAGATAAAACAAAGTTTACCAAGGAACATCAAAACCTGCCCTTCCAACAGTAAGAAAAGAACCTTATAAATCTATCCTCCTGTATCACGTAAAGATGAGCTTCTTGCTGCTACCCAGATAAGTTGCCATCCATTCTTACAAAGTTCTTGGTTGCATTAAATGATGACATGTTCTTTTGTGACTTCCACTTCTTTGTGTGTGTCCTGTCATCTAGAATCCCGTGGCATGATTCTGTGCTTCTAACACAAGAGTGCTTCAGATGTTCGATAGTAACTAACACATTCCTTTAGCATATCTTTTCCAGGCCCTGGTCTCTAGCCACCACTGAGTGATGGGATCTGCACTCCTCTAACCAAGTCCTCAAGACAGAGTTCCCTTTGGCTGTATCTGTTCAAGTCACGGTAGCTGGAGCAGATGCTCTCCACAGACGCCAAAATTGGGCAATAGGATTGGCAGCGCAGTGATGGAGGATTTTGAATGAGAACAGGGGAAAGCTCAAGAAGGTAGCTGCCAGCTTCAGAGAAACTGGAAGAAGGCTTGGGGTTGTCAATTTGGTCATGGGGACTGGTAAGAGCAAGAATGAATGTTGTCTCGAAGGAGTCAGGATACCAGCATGGATATTAGCACAGAAAACTGGGGACAGGCGAGCACCCATTTACTGGAGATGGTGTCAAATGTGGACTTGGTCACAGGGAACAGGGCAAAGCTGAGATGCCTGAACAGAGAAGAGACAAGATCTCAGGTGGGCAATCAGCAAAGGTAGCCTGTTGCTGTGTCGCTGGCCTCTCTGTCTCCTTGGATTCCACTTGTCTAGGAATGACATTATATCTAATTGTGAGTGAAAACAAAGTCTGATACTAGTACTTAAAAGACTAGGATGATTGGAGAGCTATTAGTATGAGCTAGGCAGATTTTTACATGGAGTGTGATTTCTTTGTGTCTTAAATCAATCTTTGGTGGCATTGATTCTTCTCAGCTTTGAGTCATTAGTAAATCAGCTGTTTGGCTTCTATGTTCTCAAATCAGAGACAGTAGGGATTTTCTTACTGGAGTTCATACGGGCTGTGAGACAAGACTTGAGAGAACATCTGTTAATCAACAGCATCTACCTTGTAGTATCACATCAAGAACCTTAACTGCAAAAATATCATGAAAAATTCAACAAGTACTTTGCAGAAAACAAGTGTGCTAGGTTCCAGATCTTCTCCTCATTCTGCAACCTAATAAGCTCACCCAAAGGAAAATGGGTTTAGTTTGACATGACTTGCTCTTAGTGAACCAGTGTTCTCTGCTAAATTCACTAAATATTCCTAATCTGACGACTGTCACTCAGAGGGAGTGGGGTGGGGAGAGTGACAATGATTCTGAAGCTCTAAGGGTCACTGCATTTGTGAATTGTTTGCTCACAATGTGTCTCCTTGTGTCTTAGTGGGACCGAGTCATTCTTCCCAGGTTGTAATTCAAGATGGTTATAAGTTTCTGTTTTCTACTCTCCAAACTAAAATTTCCAAAATTGTAACAGGAAAGCATGGCTGAACTAAGTAACATTTCTCTTTGCATATCAATTTATTTGGATTTAGGAAATGCATCCCATAATATTAAGGTGGGTCTATTAAAGGGGGCTGGGATAATGGAGCTAGGAGGAAATAAAAAATACAGTTAGAATTAATAAATCCTAATGTTCAATAGCGGAGTAGGGTGACTATAGTTAACAACAATGTACTATATATTTCAAAATAGCTAGAAGAGAGGATTGGAAATGTTCCCAACACATAGAAATGATTAATACTCTAGATGATGGATACCCCAAACACCCTGAATTGACCATTACACATTCTGTGCATGTAACAAAATATCATGTGCATCCCATAAATGTGTGCAAATGTTATGCATCCATGAAAAAATTTTTTTAAATTATCAAGTTCCTATTATATGCTCAACATGATTGTGGGGATATAACTATATTTGACATAAATTGTCTTTATCTAAAAATTAACATGAAGTATGTATCATACATTAAAAATTAATATGAGGTGCATATTATACATTCTTTCCATGTTTCATGTCATTTATCACTTATGATGCTCTATTTGGTTGTTAGCTTCAATTTAATCTCCGTTTTCATCTCTGTTTTTCTTCCTAATCCCATTTCCTTCTAATCTAATAGAATGCTTTCTCTCCATAAATTCCTCACTGACCCCTTATATTCAGAAGTAGCAAATTTGCAATTATTTCATGATAGCATTTGTGTATGTTCTGACAGCTGTGGGTTTCACATATACACACTTGTCTGTTTCTGTGATAAAACAATTTCTTTTGTTAGGTATGCTTTACCATAGAATTTTATGTGATGGCGGTAGAATATGGGCATGAACAGGAATACAGAGCAATGTAAAGTAAATTCTGACAGAGACGTAAGTTTGTACCTTAACAAAACTCTAATATGTGGATGAAAATTATGTTAGTTTGTCCTATTTTCCCATTAGTTTCTGTGGGTATTCATTTTACACTGAGTATTTTAAAATCCAGAGACCAATAAAAAGCTAGAAACATAATAAAGCCTAGAACGCTGGTCACCACATTTAAATTTTATTTCTCCACATTTTATTGTTTCCGATACTTTGATGTACATTTTCTGTCTCCATCAATATTTCCTTTTTTTCCTGCATTATTCTCTGTCACTCTAATACCCCAGCCCTAAATATCCATTCCTCCACTTCTTCCTTTCTCCCGAAAGCATTTGGAGTGAAGTAAAAAGTGAGATATTCTCAATAAGATTACTAATTTTATTTTAAGCCATTCTTGATCATTGAAACTGAACCACCATTTAATTTTCGATCTAGAGACAGGGTATGAAAATGGTTTCTTCCCTATCTTCTAGAGCAGGGTTGACCAATTATGGCCTGAGGAAAAAATCTGGCCTACAGCTGACTTTAGTAAAGAAGCTTTTACTGAAACACAGCCAAACTCATTTATTTACATGCTTTCATTGCAGGCCAGCAGAGTATTCATGACAGACTACATTGCCGGCCAAGCATGTGAAATATTTACTGTTAGGGCTTCCCTTGGAAAGGTTTGCTGAGCCCTGCAAATGATTATATGGAGAGAATCACATGTAGCCAGAGTAAAAATGCCTTCAAACTAATTCCACCCTTGAGCAGGTTCTCAAGAAAACTTAGATCTGGTTCTAGGGTTCAATTTCTCCAGAAAGATCATTCTATTCACTAATAATGATTTTCTATGTGTTACAAAGATGAGCAATTCAGCTTAATGTAGACTTCCAGGTTCACAAGCATATACTTCACACCTTGTTCTCTTTTGCACTTTTTTTCCCCTGACTGTTTATGGGGTGTGGAGTGTGTGTGTGTGTGTGTGTGTGTGTGTGTGTGTGTGTTAGTACTCATTTTTTTTTCAGGAAAAAAATTTTTACTTAAAATTGTCTCCACACACTAGAGTGATTAAAAGCCAGCATGATCTAGTGATGCATTAGCTACAAAAGTGGCTGGAGAAGATAAGAAAAACAAAAAACGTCTATGGAGAAAAAGAGTATGAAATTGCCTTTAGAGTCTGGAGCCTTTTCTTCTTGCCAATACAAATGTCAATATATTTGCTGGAACCTAATCAGCCCCTAAGTTAGGCACAAGTTCAAATAGTCTTCCAAAGCCACTAAGTCGTGTGCGTGGGAAAAAGAGGTGACAAATACAGGCTAGTTAAATGTTGGCATCTGCCTATGGGTCACCCTGTGTTTGAAGTTTGGAAAAGAAGTATGGATACTGAACCACTCTACTGAGCAAAAGAAAAAATATGGGCATTCCCCACAGCTGATGGATCTTGTGAGATGAGGCTGAGGAAGGAGGCCCCCACACATTGTAGCATGTCCAGTATTGATTACAAATAAGAATGTATTGATGTCATCGGGAACAGAAGTTTTGCACACATAAAATGCAGACAAAAATACTTCATCGAGTCTGAGAACTTTCAACCCACTTCTCCAGTGTCACACTTTACAAAATGACTCACAGTATCTCAGAAACACAGGATATCTTACAGGTCCAAGCTCCCACACAATAATGTAAGAATGTTTGACTCAGATGTACTCAGCTGTATTCACACGAATGACAGATACACATGCATATGTACAAAGGCACCTCATACTAATCCTGTATTCACCTGGCCTTTTCTACAGGGAGCATTCTCCTAATCACTTTCACTTAACATCCCAATCCACTCTGCTCCACACCCCTTCCACTCACAGGCAACACTGCAGCACCACCATTATCCTTGGTTTTGCCCACCCTCATTTCCCCAGTCATCTACCTAACACCATGTTTCCCGAAGACTGGTAGACTCATCACTAGCAGTCCTCAACATAATTTTAGATAGTACTCAGATGAGCATTTTTATTTGAAAAGCATATGTTCATTTTAGCATGCATTGGATAAAAAAGCCACCAACACAAGAGATGTCGATGTCATTGCTAAAAAGAGTCTAAAAAATAAGTCTATTTAAGAATAAAAATGTAAGTGGTTTACATGCAAAAAGAAAAAAAAAGTTAAAGCAACTGAAGTCTGGAAACTGAAGTCTAGAAACCATCACTTAGCATTTTCCTCACATGCCCTCCACTGCTTTAGATGGCTAGAGAACCATCCCAGTAGCCAGACAGGACTATTTTCTTGTCTCAGGATTTTTTGTGTGGGAAATTGCAACTGTTCCTAGATGATAACCCACACCACCTACTCCCAATCTGGCAACTCTCACTCTTTCGCTCCTGGAAGGAGTCCAGATGATCAAGCCCAGGGCACACCACAGGCAGCTTTCTAGGCCAAAAGAGTACATGAGCCAATTATTCTAAAAAGTTCTACAATGCTGTATTTTTTATATGGGCCAAGATCTCTGAGGAATCTCTGGGGAAGTTCCAAGAATGATGTAGAATTAAACAAGTTCTATCACCTCACAGGTTAAAGTATCAGCAATGGAAAATATTGAACATGCTAAGAAGACTCCCCCTGTCTCATCTGGGCACCGCTCCTTCCCTTACTCCTTAATATTTTCTAATTTTTAGGGATCAATTAAAGGCAGCTCCCCACTTTGGGTGTCATTTATTCAGTAGTTATTGAGCGTCTATATTGTCCCACAGCTCAAGGCACTTTTTAAAGGCTATCACCTTAGAAGCAAAGCCCCATTTCCCTTCTTTCTCCCTTAGAGCTCTGGTTCTCAACTGGGGGTGATTTTGCCTCCCAGGTGACATTTGGCAATGTCTGGTGACATTCTTGGTCATTACGACTGGGAGACAAAGGTATTGCTTTTTCTTCCGGATACCAGACATATGCAGATAAACATCCTGCAATGCACAGGACAGTTACCCACAACCAAGAAATATCTGGCCCAGCATGTCTGTAGTGCCAAGGTTGAGAAACTCTGCTGATGAGTAAGTCATCTTGATAGCAGTAGTAGTTCAAATGTAAAAGAAGCAGAAACTACTTCAGGAGTGATAATTTGCTTAAGCAGAAATAGATCCCGATAGGATGTTTCAAATGTTTTGCATAGATGTCAAATCTAGCTACATCTGGCCAGGAGTTACTTCTCACTGAGATTCACTCAATTGTATGTTTCTGTCATGTTGTATTAATTCTTAAAACTCCTACTCTAGCAACCTATTTCTTGGATTTTCCAGAATTCCAAATAGTCCTTGAAGTTAGCCATTAGTTTGGTAGAGTTCAAACTGTTCTCCCTTTTTTTATTTCATTTTTATTTTTTGAGACAGAGACTCACTCTGTTGCCAGGCTGGAGTGCAGTGGCGTGATCTCGGCTCACTGCAACCTCCACTCCCAGGTTCAAGCGATTCCCCTGCCTCAGCCTCCTGAGTAGCTGGGACTACAGGTGTCCGCCACCATGCCTGGCTAATTTTTTGTGTGTTTTAGTAGAGACGGGGTTTCACCATGTTGGCCAGGATGGTCTCGATCTCCTGACCTCGTGATCTGCCCACCTCGGCCTCCCAAAGTGCTGGGATTATAGGTGTGAGCCACTGCGCCTGACCCTGTTCTCTCTTATTATATTCATGGCATCACTGTTGAGAGCATGAAACCTGAAGTGAGGCTGTTTAAGTTTTAACCATAGATTGGCCACTTAACAGCTATGAAACTTTGATGTACTCACTTGACTTCTTTTAGCCTCTTTCTCCACATCTCTTAAATGGTGAAATTTGTAGTTTAACATTTACAGTGCTGCTTGTGAAGATTGAATGAGTTGATGCACATAATCTACTTCCACAGTGCTGGACACACAGTAAATACTTTATAAATTTCAGTTGTGTTATCATTGTCCAATAATTTTGCATTATCCTGGCATCCAGATTTTGGTGAACTTACTGAGATAAGTATTTCACAGTGGTCAGGATCACAGACTCCGAAGGAAGATTTTTCTGGGTTGGAATGCTGATGTTACCAGGTATTTGCTATGTGATTTTGGTCAAATCCCCTACGGTTTTGTGTGCCTTAGTTTTCGCATCTGTAAAGTGGGAATTATAATAGGTATCTTATATGGTTGTTGTGAAGATTACTAAATTAATATAGGCAAATACTTAAAATATCCCTGACATACACAGCAAACTGTACTTGTGTACTTACTCAATAAGTACTTAGAATAAGTACAGTAAGCTCAAGATAATTATAAGCTCAAGATAATTATCAGTTATTAGCATTTTTAAACTTTCCTTTTTTTCTCTAAGTTCAATTAATAGCAATCTTCTTTTTCTTAGGGAAACAAGCTGTTCCTTTAATAATGAAAAGGTGAAGTACCACCTGTTGGGTACTATGCTTACTGCCTGGGTGATGAGGTTGTTGGGACTCCAGGCCTCAGTGTCACGTAATTTACTTATGTAAAAAACCTGCACGTGTACCATTTAATTTGTAATAAGAGTTGAAATTTTAAAAAGAGAAAAGCTAACATGGATATATAAGACCAGAGCGGTCATAAGACAAATGCATAATTGTAAAAGAGTCCACATTATGAAACTTCAAAAGTGCAGTAGTTCTTAGAATAGACATTTATAGTTGAGACGCCCAACTACTTAAGATTTTTTATCTGGGAATCCGGACACCTGCAACTCTGCCCTGTGACCTTACTTACCTATTATGGGGCACAGTTTTCACCAGGTGGTTTTATTACTTTCAGTCCCATGACCCCCTAGAAAAGCAGGCAAATGTTAATGTTTAAAATTGATGTTAAGTTATCTTCCATATGTCACAGAATTTAGATTTAGATTTGTGAGTTTATAGTGAAATCACTTTTCTGGCACATGTGGCCATGAATGTCAAGACAAGTCCAGAGGATAAATAGCTGTAGAAGAAAAGCTGTTATCCTATTTCCCAGTCCAGGTGAAGTGAGCAACCATGAAGACCTTCATCTTCCTTGCTCTCCTGGGAGCTGCTGGTGAGTCTCTTTTAATGAGTAAATCAGTGGGTGTCAACATAAACTTAAGTTTGTACTTTATACTTTGGAAGACAACAATGAATGTTGAATCTGGTCTCTGTATTCAAAAAGCTTAAAATATTGAAACAGTTGTGTAAAATACATAGATTTGTGGATAATTAAATTTCACTTGGAGGAAGATCACAGTTAGCAAAAGTGATCAGGGTAGAAAATATAAAGACACAGGACTTGCTCTCAACTTCTGGGTAAAATTAATGAAGAAGGAGAGAAAAGGAAAAGACAGCTCAGATTAAGGAGGTGCTTATCCTGACCTTTCCAAGAATTTGGAGTTAATAATCTCTGGCTGTCTATTCTGTTCCATTGTCCTATGTTGCCTGTTTCTTGTACTCACTACCATGCCTGTTTTAGTCCACTGGCTCTTGTACGTATAGGTTGAGACGCCCAGAACTTGCTTCCTCAGCTTTATATCTTCTGCTTAGCATGCCCCTTGGGCTTATTTGGGCTTTGTTTTTGGTCCATATAAACTTCTTAAAAGTATTTTTTCTAATTCTGCTGAAGGCATGCTCATTCTGATAGTTTAATAGGATAGCATTGAACATCTATAATATACATTTGGAGCAGTCATTCATTTTTCGTCTTAACATAAACTTTTTGGTTTACAGTGTTAGTATCCAGAACAATTGTTTATTTGCTACCTGTATTTTAACTCTCCGACAATTGGTAACAGACAAGCTCGTTCTAACATTGGCTTGGCGGGCCAAAAAGATGAGTCCACATCTGGGTAACCAAGAATGAGGCAGGATGGGGACGGTATACTTTCTTGTCAAGTCACTCAGTTACCAAAATGTAAGAAATAAATTCTCAGCACGAACTAGAAAAATTTACTCATCTCCCCATAGCTCGTGGTCACGGCGATTTTCCCTCAGACTTGTATTACCTCCAGTCTCTCAGGAAACTACAGACCATCAGTCAGCAATGTAAAGAGGAGTAATTTTAGGTTACAGAATCATCTCATACTTTGTCCAGGTGCAGTGTGCTCATGGCTGCAACCCAGCACTTTTGCGAGCCTGAGCAGGGCCGAGAATCTCTTCTGAGCGCAGAGACTTGAGACCAGCCTGGGCATCAAATCAGCAGGCTTTGCCTCAAATAGTAGTAGCTACATAACTGAATAATAATAAATAGATCTACTATTAATAGATCGTGGGGTGTGGTGGTGCATGCTCTGCTGTCCCAGGTTATGCAGGAAGGCACTGAAGGCAGCCTGGAAGTCACTGCAAAAACAAGAATTATTATACTTTTTTGGCAAATATAGAGGAAATGGCCAATAGCAAAAGTACTCATTCCTTGGGCAGCGCCTGAATTAATGCGAAAAACGTCTAAAAGGGCGTGCCAAGGTTTACTTGTTGTTTCATATTGTGTTTCTTTCTTCTGCATTTCTTTGACATAAACAAAAAGTTAGGTTCTTATAAAAGAGCGAAGAGAGAATAACATCTTTCCTTTAATGAATTTCGGCAGAGTTTTGGCTTATACACCCAATTTCAGTATTTAATCTTTCTCAACCCTTCACAAAAAGTAACCCTTAATCCACCTAATCCTACAGCGAAGAAAAGCCAGCTGACAATCGAGCTCGCAACCCAGTCAGCGCTAGGAGGTTCTCCAGCACTGACCTTCTCCGTCACATCCTCTCATCCCCCGACATCTTCTTCGAGCCTCATGCTTGTCACAAGATCGTCCCTAGGTGACACATGAGTAGAATTGTAGGGAGGTCAATACCATTTCTCGTAGCAAGAGGCGCGGTAATTGACTAGAACCGCACACCGCTGAACGGCCTAAGGAGAGCCGCAGTAGATTCTGTAATCCTACAACTCGGAGGGACCCATTTCTGGGACATTGCTGGAGCCAAATCACACAATTCTGTGAACCAGTAGCACCCAGAAGATTTTCTCCTTTCTAGTACTCAGGAGTTTTGCAGAGGTGAAAAAGATGATAGTCACGATAACTCATATTTATTATCTTCTGTTTGTCATATACTACGCTTAAGTGTTTTTAAATAATATTTAATCCTCATGACTATCTTATGAGGTAAGTACTAATCTTCTTTCCATTTTATAGCTTAGAGTACTGAGGCTTAAGATAGTTAAATGTTTTCAGGATAAGGCAGCTGATAAGTCAATAGGAATTGAACTCTATCAGGCCAACTCCAAAGCCCACGCTCTTAATCATGTTAAAAACAAAACAAAACAAAACAAAACAAAAAAACAACAAAAAAACAAGAAAATATCATAAAGATTTAAGAACTTCACAACAATATTTTTACATTAAGATAAATTACTGTTCCTGAAAGCCTGGAAAATATAAGAATCCTAAAGTTACAGTTATTTTATTTTATTTAACTAACATTTAAATATACTATTTGTTAGGCAGTGTCCAAAGCCACTTTAAAAACATGAACTCTTTTCATTTTCCTAAAAACAATCGATGTGATGGGCTCTTCGTTTTATAGGAAAGGAAACTGATAAAGACAGAGATAAGAAACTTGCCCAAATGTGTCATAATTAGAGCTCATTAATATCAAGCTTCAGAGGCTACCATGAGAATTATAGGCAGTATATTATGAATGACTCATACTCTTATCTTTTCTACCGTAGATTCCAACATCTTCTCTCATAGGAGCATTGTCTAATCCTTTTTCTATTTTACTCCTAAAGGTGGAAAGAATCACACCTCATGCTCACTTTAAACTGCCCCACCAAACCCTTCTCCAGATGATCTTGATCCTTCCCTCCATCAAGCCACCACTCCTCAGAGTTGAGGGTTAAACATGAAATTAGAGCAAACTAACGAACCCAGATAAATTGTTTTTGAGTCCTTCAGGATTGAGAGGACACAACAGTGGAACTGGGAACCACTCAGGCAGGGTCACCCCCTTGGAACACTTGCTTCACCTGCCACCATTATAAAATGGAGTAGAGTTGGAAATGGTTTGTCTCCTGTCCTGGTTATTGATTACTGCATAGAAAACCACCTCAAATTTAGCAGAGTATGGCAATGTCAATCACTTGCTAGTACTATTTCTCATGGCTTCAGGGTGTGACTGGGCTCCTCTAGGCATCATTGCTGGGAATCTCTCATGCTTTGCATGTAGCTGGTGACTGGGCTTGGAGCCATCTCAAAGACTTCCTCACTCATAGGTCTGGTGGCTGATACTGGCTGTCAGCTGGGCCTTCAGCTTGATTTTTGGCCAGAGCACCTGTGCATGGCTTCTCTATGTGCCTCCAGATGGGATGGCTTGGGCTTACTTATAGCAAAGCATATGTACTCTAAGAATATTTGAAGAAGAGAGCCAGACGGAAATTTATTGACTTTTAGAATCTGTTCTCCAAAATTATGCCAGTTCACATTTAAGCGGAACCAAATTAGAATTTACATATTGTAGAGAAGAGAGCCAAACAATAAAGGCGTACTGTCTAAGCCACTACATCATCTCACATCCAGGAAAAATCTCTTCGAAACTGAATTATGCTTTTTTAGAAGTTGTATTTTAGGTTTTGGGGTACATGTAAAGGTTTGTTACATAGATAAACACGTGCCATAGGGGTTTGTTGTACATATTATTATATCACCCAGGTATTAAGCTCAGTACCCAATAGTTATCTTTTCTGCTCCTCTCCCTTCTCCCACCATCCCCCTCTCCTTGTGTTCATAAGTTCTTATCATTCAGCTCTCACTTACATGTGAGATCGTGTGGTATTTGGTTTTCCTTTCCCGTGTTAGTTTGCTAATTTGATGATAGCCTTTAGCTCCATCCATGTTCCTACAAAAGACATGATCTCGTTCTTTTCTATGGATGCATAATATTTCATGGGGTATATGTACCACATTTATTTTATCCAGTGTGTCATTGATGGGCATTTAGGTTGATTCCATGTCTTTGCTATTGTGAGCAGTGCTGCAATGAACATTTACGTGCATGTCTCTTTATGGTAGAACCCTTTATATTCCTCTGGGTATATACCCAGTAATGAGATTGCTGGGTCAAATGGTAGTTCTGCTTTTAGCTCATTGAGGGATTGTTGTGCTGCTTTCAACAATGGTTGAACTAATTTACACTCCCATCAACAGTGTATAAGTGTTACCTTTTCTCTGAAACCTCACCAGTCTCTGTTACTTTTTGACTTTTTAATAATAGCCATTCTGAGTGGTGTGAGACATCTCCTTGTGGTTTTGATTTGTATTTACCTTATGATCGGTGGTATTGAGCTTTTTTCATATGCTTGTTGGCCACATGTATGTCTTCTTTTGAGAAGTGTTTGTTTATGTCCTTTGCCCACTTTTTAATAGGGTCATTTGTTTTCCTTTTGTAAGTTTGCTTAAGTTCCTTATAGATGCTGGATATTAGACCTTTGTCAGTGTGTAAAACTTTTCTCCCATTCTGAAGGTTGTCTGTTTACTCTGTTGATAGTTTCTTTTGCTGTGCAGAAACTCTTAAGCTTAATTAGATCCCACTTGTCAATTTTTTCTTTTGTTGTGATTGCTTTTGGTGCCTTTGTCATTAATACAGTTTGGCTATATCCCCACCCAAATCTCAACTTGAATTCCCATGTGTTGTGGGAGGGACCTGGTGCGAGGTAACTGAATCATGGCAGCAAGTCTTTCTCATGCTATTTCTGTGATAGTGAATAAGTCTCACAAGATCTGATGGCTTTAAAAAGAGTAGTTCCCCTGCACAAGGTCTGTTTCTTTGCCTGCTGCCATCATGTAAGATGTGACTTACTCTTTCTTGCCTTCTGCCATGATTGTAAGGCTTCCCCAGCCACATGTAACTGTAAGTCCAGTTAAATCTCTGTCTTTTGTAAATTGCCAAGTCTTGGGTATGTCTTTATCAGCAGCATGCAAACTGACTAATACAGTCATGAAATCTTTGCCTACTCCTAGGTACAGGATAGTATTGCCTAGCTTGTCTTCCAGGGTTTTTATAGTTTTGGGTTTTACATTTTAGTCTTCAATACATATTGAGTTGATTTTTGTACATGGTGTAAAGAAGGGGTCCAGTTTCAATCTCCATTGGCTAGCCAGGTATACCAGCACCATTTATTGAATAGAGAGGCTCTGTCCCATTGCTTGTTTTTGCCAGCTTTGTCAAAGATCAGGTGTCATAGATGTGCAGCCTTATTTCTAGGCTGTCTATTCTGTTCCATTGGTCTATGTGCCTGTTTTTGTACCATACCATGCTGTTTTAGTCACTGTAGCTCTTATAGTATAGTTTGAAGTCAGGTAACTTGCTTCCTTCAGCTTTGTCCTTTTTGCTTAGCATTGCCTTGGCTATTTGGGCTTATTTTTTTGGTTCCATATAAATTTTAAAATATTTTTTCTAATTCTGTGAAGAATGTCATTGATATTTTAATAAGAGTAGCATTGAATCTATAAATTGTTTTGGGAAGTATAGACATTTTAATGATATTGATCCTTCCTATCTGTGAGCATGGGATGTTTCTCCACTTTTTGTGTCTTGTCTGATTTCTTTGAGCAGTGTTTTGTAATTCACAGTGTGGAGATCTTTCACCCCCTGATTAGCTGTATTCCTAGGTTTTGGAGTTTTTGTTTGTTTGTTTGTTTGTTTGTGCATGGCAATTGTGAATTGTGCCTAATTGGCTCTCAGTTTGTTGGTGGTGTATAGGAATGCTAGTGATTTTTGTACATTGATTTTGTATCCTGCAATTTTGATGAAGCTGTTTATCACTGAAGGAGCTTGGGGGCCAACACTATACGGTTTTCTTGATGTAGAATCATGTCATCTGCAAACAGAGATAGTTTGACTTCCTCTTTTCCTATTTGGTTGCCTTTTATTTCTTTCTCTTGCTTGATTGCTCTGGCTAGGACTTCTAATACGATGTTGAATAGAAGTGGTGAGAGGGGGCATCTTTGTCTTGTGCCAGTTTTCAAGGGGAATGCTTCCAACTTTTGCCCATTTAGTATAATGTTGGCTGTGGTTTTGTCATAGATGGTTCTTATTATTTTGAGGTATGTTCCTTCAATACCTAATTTATTAAGAGTTTTTAATATGAAGTGATGGTGAATCTTATCAAAAGCCTTTTCTGCATTTATTGAGATAATCATATGATTTTGATCATTAGTTCTGTTTATGTGATGAGTCACATTTATTGATTTTTATATGTTGAACCAAACTTGCATCCGAAGGATGAAGCCTATTTGATCATGGTGGGATTAGCTTTATGATGTGCTTCTGGATTCAGTTTGTAAGTATTTTGTAGAGGGCTTTTACATCTATGTTCATCAAAGATATTGGCCTGAAGTTTTTTTTTTCTTGTCTCTCTGCCAGGTTGTGGTATCAAGATGATGCTGGCCTCATAGAATGAGTTGGGGAGAAGTCCTTCCTTCTCAATTTTTTGGAATTGTTTCTGTAGGAATGGTATCAGTTTTTCCTTGTACATATAGTGGAATTCGGCTGTGAATCCATCAGGTCCTGCGCTTTTATTGGTTGGTAGGCTATTTATTGCTGATTAAATTTTAGAGCTATTATTGGTCTGTTCAGGGATTCAGTTTCTTTCTGGCTCAGTCTAGGGAAGGTGTATGTATCCAAAAATGTGTTCATCTCCTCTAGGTTTGTTAGTTTGTGTATGTAGAAGTGTACATAGTGGTTTCTGATGGTTGTTTTCATTTCTGTGGGGTCAGTAGTAACATTCCCTTCATCATTTCTAATTGTGTCTGTTTGGATCT